TCTCCCCAATTTTGTTGCCCATAGGCCGTCCCTCCTTCAATGTCCACGTCGCTGAATCCGTAGTTGAAAAGGTCGTTGTTATTAGCCTCAATGGACAAAGCCAAGCTCGCTACCACGAAAATAATCCTCATAATTTTTGCTATCGCTATGTAGAGTTCCCTTTATGATGGACGAACCTACCGCTGCTGTAGACGAATGAACTTAGGACGTTGAGAGAGGTGCAGACAGGTTCGAAAACTGCTTTTGGCGATGATCATGTGCGCAACGGGTGCCTCGTGACTGCAATAAATATGCCCCATGACGCCATGTGCCAGACTTTAACCTGTCACACCGCGACACTCATCATGACGTCATATCGGTTCCGTCTTTCCGTTCAAATCATGGCGCGCCAAATACACAACCATGCAGGAAGACAGCGGGCGAGGGGCGAGATCAGAAGCTACAAGTCAAAGCAGCCGGTAGATACTGGCTGCATCAACATATAAAGAGTCAGGCAGCCTCTGAAGGTATTTAGTTATTCCACTCCATTTTCTGTTGCGCTATCGGATTCCGAACAGCATGAAGAAGCGAGACATTGCCTGCGACTTTGACAACTTTGAGCTACATGTTCGCCTCCAATCCAAGCATTTCGGTGCATCAAAAGCAACAATTGAAGAAAATAGACTTTACTTTGGAGGAGGAAAGTATGAAGTCAAACCAAAGGACATTGCAGAGTTGATCATTGACCAAGATGCGGGATCCATTCGCATCCAGCATTCCAAAAAGGATGAGATTTACGTCATGAGCGGACCAGCAGATGCCGTTTCGTTTGCTGCTTTCGCGGAAAAATTGTCCTACTTGCACAGGAAGAAGAATCCGCAAGCCGAGTCATTTCTCGAGCAGTCGAGTGGCAAGGCACTGGGCGCCCGCAAAAAGCTACAACCCGCCCGTCCACGAGTAGCGTTTGGGAGAGGTGCGCGACCCAGTGCAATGAGCAGCAACACGGCGAAGAGCGAGCTGGCAAAAAGCATATTTCCGGATCGATTAGACAATTCAATTTACACAAAGAAAAAACAGCAACAACAGTTGGATCTCAAACTCGACTTTTCAGATGACGAAAGCCTTCAAAGTAGGCCTCAGCAGCAGCAGGAGTCGTCGTTGCATCACACGTCTCCTACCATTGACGATCAACAAGAATTTGAACTCGATGATCTTCTGGGGGAAGATTCCGACGACGAGGTAACCCGTCCTCCGACGCTGAATCGCACAAAGGTGGTCACGAAACGCAAGCACCGAATCAAGAGCAAGATTCAAAGCGACGCCGAATCCGACGATGAGGATTTCTTGTTTCATAGTCACTTGACTACTCCAAGTAGACCGGACCGGAGCGTCACTCCTGGAACTAAAACTTTACCCAAGAACGAAAAAGGAACGCTGACATCATACTTCCTTGCAAAACCAGCTTCTTTGACGCCAACGATACCTTCACCAAGAACACTACACGAACGCAACAGCACATTGACTCAGATTGACACACCGTCGCCATCACCGACACGCTACGCAACTACACCACGATCGGCTCAGATCATCAAGCAATCTTTGCGAAAGAATGAGCTTCAGCGATCCGATAAGTGGCTCCACACTAGTCCGACTCGAACGTCGTCATCCGAGAAGGCAGCCATGGCTCTTTTTGGCACGAAGTCACCTTTTTCGACCATGGCAAAGGATGACATTGTGAGTAGTCCTACAAAGCCACTTCTTTCATGTTCTAAACGGGCCAGTTTTGGTTCATTTGGACCGAGTACGGAGCGGGGTCGAAGACTTTCGCACGGCGGCAAGGAGTACAAGCGCTTACGATCAGATAGCTTTGAGCGCTCGCGGCTGCAATTTCGATCCAATACCAATACTGAAAATACTAATGATACCATCAAGGATGATGAATTGGTCAAGGAAAAGCCAATCTTTAAGTTTCGAGGCATGTATAACCTCGGTAACACTTGTTACATGGCTGCGTCGCTGCAGATGCTTTTCACCGCACATGCACTCGTGGCGCAGCTACGCAACAGAGGTGGCCCGCTCACTCAACAAGTTGTTCAACTTGCTGAACGAGTAGCTGATACAACTGATAACAAGTCCGTCCGTCTCGATGGCGTCAAAGCTGAAATCGACAAGCTTACTGATAAGTTTGCCGGCAATTTGCAACGAGACGCTCACGAGTTTATCAGTGACCTCGTCGAGAGCATGCATGAAGAACTGGAAAAGGAAGTCTTGGCGGGAAAGGCAAAGGAATCTCATGTGGACTCTGCTGCGTTCGATGGAATGGCAGCGCCGATAGCCGCAACCGATGATCCAAAGTCGTCTACCATCGACTCTGCCGAGATCTTGCTTCCTACGGATAAGTTTCGAATGACGGTTGAGGTTAGTTTAAAGTGCAACTCATGCAACTATACTAGGTGAGTCCACGCACATACACGGGTGGTTTTGTGTAACACTTCAATCCTCATCTTGCACACTTCGTTTGGCAGGTCAAAAGAAGAGTTTTACCGCCACGTCTCAATTGACGTCTGCTCAGAAGAAACTACCGACAATGCTGACAGCAAAAAAGCATCCGTTGCGGCTGGTTTATTGAAGTTTTTTCAGGCGGAAGTTCGCGAAATCAAGTGTGAGCGTTGCACGGACGGTACGCATGCTTTGCAAACAATGCGCGTCATTTCCAGGTAAGTTTTGCTGCTGACTAGCGCAAGCCGACAGATGTTGTAAACATTCTAATCACTGACTCATATTCTGAAAAACAGACCGCAATTTCTCATTCTTCACCTGAAGCGCTTCATCTGGTCGGAGAACAAGATTACCGAGCCTGTCACAGACGAAAACACAGAAAACTACAGTCCGAAGCCACCGCGAATCGAGTATGTGCTAAAGAAGAAAAAAGATCCAGTTTCGCTCTCTGAAAAGCTCGACTTGGACTTCTTTCGGGCACCACATGTGGACTGGGCAAGTGCCTCGAAGGTGTACTCACTCAAAAGCATAGTATACCATCACGGTCCTCGTGCAGAGTCGGGCCATTATTCAGCCGATGCGCTACGCGTCATCCCCGAGGGAACCCCTGCAACTGATGGCGTCCCTTCAACAGCTGCAACTCCCGTCTGGGTTGGATTTGACGACACATCGACTGCGATGACCTCTTTAGATAGAATTGTTTCGTCGGAAAGCAAGCAGGAGCTCGCTTACATGCTACTGTACGGCCTCGATTAGTGAGCAAGTACGTCTTCAGTGTTGAGGAGCTCTGGCGGAACAATTTTTTAGTGTCTGGACTCTAAGATGCCACTACGTAATACAGGACCTGGATGAATTAACACCTCTGGATGCATGTCCTTATCTTTGGAAACATGGATCATGGCGATTGGGTAGCATACCCTATTTAAGTCGTAGGTCTTGTTTGCGTTCTATGTGCTAGAATTGTGTTATTATAGCGATTGGACTTGACTGCGCTTATTTTCATACTTCTTATACAAGTACTGATTTGATGCGTTTGACGCTGTTCAGCTTGCAAGCGGATAGCTAAAGCTGGGCGAAGGGAGTGTTGTCGCGGTGCGACCAGCGACGAATTGGAATCGATGATGACCTTCCATCCACCACTTGCGCGATCACCATCATAATACTTTCGTGCCTTCTCGAAAGAAATCCACCATGAAGCTCTTTGCCCTTACCTCTGCCGCTATCATCGGTGCTGCCGTCGCTTTTCTCAACCCTGCTCGTCCTGTGCAAATGGGTATGAGTGAAATCAAGTCTGCGACCATGACGGGCCTCGACAACCCGAGCGTCGTTTCAGACCCCAACATCAATCCTGCGCGCAAGTGTAAGTCCAGCAAAAAATAGTGAAAATCAGCACGAATTATTAATGATGGACAGGTTGTGGTTTCGCCCTGTCAGATAGTAGCGCAAAATACAGAGCCGCGCACGCCGAGATCATCGACAACGCACACCGCACGCATACTCATCCATTCTCTCCTCTTCTTGCACAGGCGGATTCTGCTTTGGATGAGCCGGGCAGACCAATTGCCCAGTCTCTGGTCTCTAGTAGGCCTAGGCTGGGCCTGCTGGATCATGCACCTCCGATGATGCGCTGCTGGCGTTGAAGTGATCCGGATTGATCCAGCAGGTCCTTCACTATGATGCCTTATAGATGCATTGTGGTGTTCGAATTGGGAATAAAAGGAAAGGATCGTGCTTGTTGATAATCAATTGAAACTCACGGCTGAATGACGTTTAGATGGTGCATTAAATGAATGCATCAACGAAAACTGATAAGCCAGTCGGGTGATTGAGCGTTGCAGCCATGCATCCTTTTCTCGCGAAAAAGGAAAGGGCGCTAGCGTGGCGAGTATAGAACGTAACGGGATTGGTTGTTTTTGTATTAAAGCGCTAGTTAATAATCTCATTATTTTAGTGTACGGATTTACATTCTGTCTGCAAGCACAAACAGCATGTAGTGACATACACTTACTGATGCTGCCACACTGCGACCAGTGTGCCCCATCAATCTACAACTCAACACTCGCATTAGAGCCCGACTCAGAATCAGAAGAGTCCGGCAAGGTCGTTCGCAATCCAAACCTTAGCCTGTCAATCGAGCGTCGAAAGAAACATTTTTGTGACAGGAACAACTCCGCCCCACCTAGCTTCATTAGCATCCTCCTTTGACGCCAGGACTCGAGGCAAGCCAGTAATCGCATTTGGAAAGAGCCGCTTCGTATTCTTTGTAATGACAGTATAAAAGGCTTTGGCCGCGCCAAAGTACCTGCCACGCGCATTGTGCGCATCCAAGTAATCAGGGGCAATATCTACGGTAGGCACTTGGCGCAGCTTGCTTTGACAATTTTAAACATGTTGGCCATGTAGTAAACCTTGACGTGCGCAACATAGATTGCGCACAACAGGGCATGCACGCTCTTTTCCTTATACTCGAGGATGACTTCATGCTTTTAGAATCATACTACCGGTAGATAAAGTAAAAAATGTTTCCTGAGCAGGACTCGAACTTGCAACCTTGACATTAGGAGTGTCACGCGCTACCATTGCGCCACCAGGAAAGGAGTCGACCATAGTCTGACGTAATTGGGTCATTTGGTAAATAAACAAAAGCATCTGTGAAGTTGAGCACGAACGTTCGCACATTGTTTTCAAGTGCTCTACTGCGCTCGCATGGACCGATATTATTTGTTAGTCTTCCATTCCACTCCACACGCCATCAAGCACCGCTCCCACCGCGCCGAGGCTGTTGCATCATCATTGCTGCTGACAGGCAAGTGAAGCCTCACTTCTCTCAACGAGACAGCCCCGACACCACTGATCAAGGCCATACGATATCAACCTATTTGCAATCTCTCTTTGACATCATCGTTGTCTCTCTTGCTCACACAAAGCCCACAACGACAATCACAACTTGCACTACCAATACAACTCGCCGCCATCCAAACAAGTTTGAAAGAATGATTGCCCACGCTTCCAACGCGCTCCTCTCCAAGATTTCTAGGTGCAGCTCCGCGACCGCTCGCACCTTTAGCTCCATGCACTGGTCGTCTTCCTCGCACGTTGGAGACGCGGCCTTGCACCGACCCTTGTCGAGTCTTCAGGAAGCCTTGTACCCGTCCGACCATTTCGTCGAACCGGAGGACCCGCGCGACGATCCATGTCGATATGGATATCGCTTTGTATATCCGGGACAGATTGGATCCATGAATCATCATGCGGCCTCCACCTTTAACGAAGATGGATCCATTGGCATGAATAATCGAACTACGGAAGATTTCATGCAAGAGACCATACCAAACAGCAATGAGTCCTACTACAATGCATCCTTTCGACCAGAGATTGTCAATGAAACTTCTGCGCCGAATGCCCTTGAAAGGGCTGCATTCATGGACTCTCATCGAGACTGGGACCGCCAGTTACTTGAGGAGGAAATGTTGCGTTTCGTCTCGACGGATTGATGTTGTGTTTTCGAGCCCTTCGATGCCTCGTCCTCGTGCTTCGACAGGCTGTTCGCATGTTCATTTGCTACCTTTTCGGTTCTTATTTGCGCCTAGTAATGTCCAACATTGCATATCATAGATAATACGCTACAACACACATAGACATAAATCAATATTCCCTTTTGGTATCGACACAATGAAGGAGTCTGCTACATCTACAAAGTTAACGATTCTTTGTTATTCACTCATCCTTGGTGGTCTATCGGTAGGTAACGTAGCAGGCTTGCCATTAGCTGGAACATGCTTCGCTTATTGTTTGGGCTTGTGTGTATGTAGCTTGATACAACTAACTGACGACAGTCTTTCTTAATTGTCATCTGCAATGGATAGCTAAAGCTGCTTGACGGAAGACGTCGCAGTTGCTCCTGAATCTGCCACGTGGCACACACGTAATTCGGGGAAACCAAAGTGCGTCAGTCAACCAGGCCGGCGCGCTCGGCCACCTGCCGTTTCTTGAAAGACATCATCCATGATATCGCATTTCGTCGTCGATTCCATTCGCATCTTTGCACCAAGACCACCCAAATATTATTGATCGGCATTGCTGCGCCATTATTTGAGAAATTAACTTGAATTTCTCGTCAAGCAGGTCTCCGAGCAAGAAGACGTCAATCAGTGAGTATACTTCTCCGACAACAACAGCAAGTCATGCCGTCCGAAACGAGTCGGCTCCTTCTGCCATCGCCAAATCTCACCGATGAGGTCTCAACGAAGAGTTTGCTCGCCGACACTGAGCCTGGTCTCGGCTCCAACGGAACTTCCTTTCAAAATTCGGCTGCTCGACCTCAGGGGAGCCAAGGAAACGGTGCATGGTGGGCTGACGAAAGTCAAGGCGGCAAGACGACGAAAAAGTGCCGACGTGCCGTTGTGGCAGTGCTTATCTTTGCTACGCTCATCGGAGCCATTGGATATGCAAGAAGCGACAAGCAACAAGACGAAGGATCGGATGTCCCACCAAAGCACTCGCTCATTCCGCAAACCTTTCACCATGTTTCGACTGGAGCCATCCCGCTTTCAAATAAGGATCCTGTGCACGATCTTGGTCTCGCTGCCTTCAAGCGTCCCAAGGATTCTCGCCCGCCCAAGTTTCTCTTTCACGACGAGAAGCATTCCGGCAAATCTCGAGTTTTTCCCACCAACTCGTGGTATCAAAACTTACTCATGACCTCCGACGGCGAACCATCAGGTCTCAACCGCGTATATTCGATTCCCTACTTGATTGACATGGCAGGAGCCATTCCTGGCCTTCAGTTTTTTGCAAATCACATTGCTGCGTCAACATCTATTGTGCAGATTTATTCCATGGATGAATACGGCATGGTTCTTGGCGCTGGAGTTGATCATCATGGTGAAAAGCGTGATAAAAGTAGTTCACACAGCGACAGAAGTAGTGACGGTAGCGACAGTGAAATTGAAAAGATTCTTTCCAACCAATACTTTGTTCGAAACATGTCGAGCTTGAGCGTGACACTGGAATGGGTACGTATTATTGAATGCTGCGTGTCTCTGTGGCGCATATACTGGTTTGCTAATTTCTTTACACTCTTTCACCGGTACAGAACGACTTTCCGATGCATGCATCAATCGCCAAGGGAATGCCTTACGTTACCATGGTATATGATGCCATTGAAGCCAAGACTAAGGACGGCAAGCACATTCGTCCCACCATCAACTCGATCAAGTCGCTGGCCGCCGATCCCATTGTTGATCAACACAAAATCAAGTGCGACGATTCAAAGACGTTTCGTGTTGAACGAGAAGTCGAAATGCTTATTTCGGAGAGCGACTTTTCATGGCTGGCTTTCTTTTCAGAGCCTGTCAATGTTCGGTGCGTCTCCAGTAAGGAATCTGGGTTCAGCTTGCAGGTGGTGGGAACGGTCGACGCACGTGATGATTTCAAGACAAAGCCACTTGTGGTGCGTGTCGCGTGGCTCAAGTCCTGCAGTACCGGCGGCAACCCTATTTACTGTCATCAGGAATTGATGCACCCGAGCGCTCTCATGCTCGGCCAAGGTTTGTATGGCGACATTCTCCGAAACCATTCCAACTACTACCCTGGACCCGACGCCAAATTTAGCTACGCCGTGGACGAAAGCAAGGACAAGATTGCCTTGACATTTGACTGGGATGTGCAGCGCATGTCGCCTGATCATGATGACGCTGATGTGAGCAACAGTCAGTTGATTACGTTCGCCTTGCCCCATCATTATGATTTGTTCGAAACCATGCCAAAATTTGACTCTCAAATTTATTGCGTGCATTCAATGATTGGGCCCGCCTGTCTCACTCGTGGGGCGAAGTGGGAAATCGACGAAGATGTACCTGATATTGGCATGCGAGCCATTCGACCACCGGCGCCTTGGGCGATGGAGTCCTTGGCGGACAGTTTAAAGGATGACATTCAATTCACACTTCCCAAGTACTACAAAAAGGGTGCCGGCGACACGTACTTTTCGGGCAAGCGCCTTGCCAAGCTTGGGCGCATTCTCGCAATTGCCGAAGAAACAATCGAGATATGCAACGGGAAAAATGCTCTCTATTCAGACGTTTGCAACCGCATTTCGCTGCCGTCATCTAAGGACATGGACAATGCTGTGTCTGAGCTACGTAGCGCAGTGGAAATTTGGGTCAATGGAAGTGCCATCACACCCTTTGTGTATGATTCGGAGTGGGGTGGCCTCGTGAGTTGCGGCTGTGACTTTGACGAATCAACCAGAGACTGTAGAAATCGCTTTCCCGACTGTCCGACATTTACGGATCCTGGTCTTGATTTTGGTAACGGTAAGTTTATTGTTGCGCGATACATTTTGTATGCGACAGATCTGTCTCATCGATTTAGCACACCTTCGCAGGCTTCTACAACGATCATCATTTTCATTATGGGTACATGATTTACGCTGCCGCGATCCTTTCGCATTTCGACCATGATTGGGCACGTGAGCACTTCGAGGATGTTCTCCTTCTTATCCGAGACATTGCCAATCCGTCGGATGATGACGATTATTTCCCAAGCTGGCGACAAAAGGACTGGTATCAAGGCAATTCATGGGCGAGTGGTATTGCTATGCTCTACCTGAACGGCAAGAATCAAGAGTCATCTAGCGAGGCTGTTGCTGCGTACGAAGGCGTCGCCCTCTATGGTAAAGTCATGATTGCTGTCGGGGAAGAGGCCCATGATACAAAGCTGACGAGCGCAGCGCGTGAAGTGTATGCGGCTGGCTTGGTCGCGACTGCGACCGAGCTTCGATCGACAAAAATGTATTGGCATATCATTAGAGGAGGAAACGACAATATCAAGATCTATCCCCAGAACTACGTGGAATTTGCTGTCGGTATGCTTTGGCAAACGATGACACAGTTCCAAACATGGTTTGGAAGCGCTCCATACCTTGCATATGGAATTCAGCTCATGCCTATCACAGCTATTTCAGAGGCGCGTGACGGCGCTGAATGGGCGAAGATGATGTATCATTCGTTGTCCGACAGCTGTTATGACAATGAAGGATGTACCGAGACTGGTTGGGGAGTTGGTGTCCAGGCAATTCTTGCAACGGCAGGGCATCAGAAGCTGGCTCTGAACAAGACGGAAATGATGCCGGCCGAGGCCTTCAAAGGCCCTGCAGGTGATGGTCACTCGCTCACAAACACACTGTGGTACATTGCCACACGTCCGGCGGTTACGCCTCTGGAACTCAACCGGAACAGAGGAAACGATTTGGGAGATGAGCCTAAGCCGCCGTCGGAATTTACCTTGACAGATTGCGGAAGGCCCGCGAGCTGTACCGATTTTGTGCTGGACACCATTGCTGGTCTGTACTCATGCCGTCAGAGAATACAATGGCTCATTTGGCAAGAAGGAAAGTCAGAAACGGAGGCATGTGGTCAAGTTGCCGGCATTGAGAACCCGCACGAATGCGGTGCTTGCGATCCGGCTGAGGCTAACGATGATTCGGTGACGGCAGAAACTCCTCAATGTGGAGCATGTACCGAGTCGGAATGCCAGAACGAACTCTTGAATCGCTGCCCTCGCTACTTGAAGACGTATGTTTGCACTGGCG